TTTGTTATTAAGCCCAATCAAAGCCTACTGACAAAAAGATTTTACTTTATGTTTTGCCTATTTGTTATTATTACATACCTTCCAGTCCTTCAAACTAGTATTTCCATTGCTTTTGTATATTTAAAAACAAAGAAAAGTTCTCATTCTTGGCTAACCTGCATCATGAAAAGGACAGATACTTTACCATTAGATAAGAAGTGATTACTGATAAAATAATGTTAAAAATAAAGTGAATGAGGGGCCCCTATGTGGTTCAGCTGGTTAAGCATCTGCCTTGAGCTCAGGTCATGATCCCAGGGTCCTGGGATAGAGCCTCATGTTGGGCTCCCTGCTCAGTGGGGAGTCTGCTTTTCCCTCTCCCTTTGCCCCTCCCCCTGCTCTTGTTCTCTCTCTCTCTTGCTCACTCTCTCTCTCAAGTAAATAAATAAAAATCTTAAAAAAATAAAGTATTTGGTTGGCTACAAAAACAACAATGAATTATATTCAGAAGGATTTTAGATGGCTTCACAGAGGAAGTGCCATTACTGCTGGATCTTGAAGGAGGACTCAGATTGCAGCAAGGAGAAATTGAGAGGAAATCTATTTTAGACTGAAGGAAGGGAATGAGCAAATACACAATGGTAGTGAGCAAATGCTAGGAATCAGCTGGAGTTCACTATAGCGATAGGCTTATTAAGGATGAGGTTGATAGATCAATTGGGACCTGAGTCATGGAATTTATTCCAAAGGCAGATATAGGCTTTGAATATTATTAGGTATGCTCAGAATAGTATTGAGTTCCACATTCTGATGGCAGGAAGAGGAAAAGTAAAGTGAGGACACTGGAGATAGAGATCACTTCAGAGGTTGCAGCTACAGCTTAGAAGACACATCACTGTTCTACCATTCCAGGCACGTGTGGAAGCTTTGCTCCACAAGGTTGTTGAGGGATTCAGGTTCTTTCCATCTTGTTCTGTATCCACCAAGAAAGCCTATTTATCGGCAAGGTCAAAGCTCTACTGCTGCCAAATCTGATCTGGGAGATGGGAAAAGATGTACTGGTGGAGCACAGGAGCATAAATCTATGGCCCACCCTCAAATCACATAAACATATTGCTGCTTATATCTCATGTGCAAACACAACCACATGACCATTGCTAGCTTTAAGAGCAGCTAGAAAAATCTAACATCTCACAAGGTTTTCATGAGCTAGTTTTGATAATGAAACCTTATTAATATTTAGAGCTGAGATTTCTGTTATTACTGTAAAAATATATGCAACAACTAATGAATCATTGAACGCTACATCAAAACCTAATGATATATACTCTGTGTTGGCTAATTGAACATAATAATCAAAAATTAATTTTAGACATTCAATAAAATATATGCAACAATATCTGAGGCAGATATATCTTAAAGATTTTTTCTTTTTAAGAGAGAGAGTGGGATGGAGAGAAGTAGACTCCCCACTGAGCATGAATCCTGAGGTAGGGCTCAATTTCACAACACTGAGATCAGGACCTGAACCAGAATTAAGAGTCGGACATTTAACTAACTGAACCACCCAGGCATCCAGAGACAGATATTTTCATGATCCCTGAAATTAAACTTGGCCATTTTAAGGGTTGAACCCAAGCTGGGCTAAATATAGAGGCCATGTGCTTTCTGAAACAAGACACTGCTATAGGAGGAAGGTGGGCACATGACTATAGCCCAAATAAAAAGGGTCCTTCTTCATCAATCAGGTCAAAGAATCTCTTTTCTCTCTCACTTTTTGTTATTTTTCATTTTATTTATGAAGCTATAAAGATACAATGCTAGAGATGATGGGTCTAAATCTCACTAGTTATTTTTGGATTTCTAGCAAAATGTTTTTATTACATAGTAATGAAAAAAAAATAAATTTGGAGGCTTTCTTCCAGATTTCATTATTTGTAAATGATGCAAGGAAAGATAACTTTTCATATTCTGTAAGTCTAAGTAACAAGAGTATACTACTGATAAAGAATGATTAAAATAGCTTCTTAAACTTAAGTTTCTAAAACTTAAGCTAACGAGAATTTAATAGAGATGATTTTTTTCATGTTTTGTTAATTTAACTCCAAAAAATGGGGTGTTAACATTGTTTTAGAAATTGTGGTTATTTGACACATGATGCACTCATCTTTGAAGTACAGCAGAAATTCTCAGGCAGGAAGAGTCTCCTTTAACATCCTTCTACTCCAAGTTTAGTGAAAAACCACAAAACAGCAAATGTATCAGCCCTTACAGAAAAGTACAAACATGAAATAATTTTAGTGCAGAAATGTGGTGAGTGCAATTGTTCATTTAAAAATTGAATGTTTTAAAAAATAATAGCTGTGTAGGGACAGGTTTAGGGAATTCTAGACCTGGAGCATTTAGCCCTGTAACATAAGAGTAAAAACAATCCAAAACCAAAATCACCTTGCATTTGCTGGGCTTTGAAAAACACAGAATAAGAGAAGAGAAATTCAGAACTACATAAAATGTAAGATGATGGAACTTGCTTCGTGGTTTGACTGTGATACACATGGCAGCTTGTGTAACTGTCCCTCAGGACAATGTACTGACCAAACATGGTTGAACATGTACCAGCAACAGACCTCTAAGGGAGAGGATGATCTAGTCCTCAAAGAGCAGCTGGGAACGCCTGGCCGGCTCCGGGTGGGACTCCCCTGTTCTTTTTTCTGTTATCTCCCCTTCTCCAGAGATCACTTGTAGTTAGATGATTCCTTTAAACGTGCTTATTCAACCACAAATCCTATACTGCTTCATCAGACATATCTTGCTTATCTATAATCTCCTTCAACTTCTTTGTTGGTTGTTATCTTGTATCTAGTAAGTATGGGACTGAGGAGCAGCTCTGGGCAGCAGTCTTCTCAACTGCCAACCCACGCTCCCATTCTTTTGAAGAGGGCTTGTTTGTGCCTCATTCTTCTCCCGTGCACCATTGGAAAGTGGCAAATGGCCATTGGAAAGTGGCAACCTTGCATGCAAGCTGGTTTGAAAATTGCATCACGAGAAAGTATACCTTAAGTTCCGTCTTATTGCACCAAAAACATAGGTCTTATAGGGAAAACTGAAATTACAGAGGATTTTAATTTGCAGGATGGATATTTAGGAAAGAGTCTCCAGTAAGACTTGGACAGTAAAGTGTCAGTATAACATATTTATGAGCTGATAAAAGTGTCTTTCAAGCTATTCTCTCAGTGAACTTTTGTGCTCATTCTCCAAAGAGGTTCAGGCCACGTGCCTCTCTTCCATCATCCACCCTTATATGCAGTAAGACCGGGGCATCTGGACGGCTCAGTTTGTCAAGCATTTGACTCTTGATTTCAGCTCAGGTCATGATCTCAGGGTTGTGAGACTGAGCTCTCTCTCTCCCTCTGTCCCTCTCCTCACCCTCCGTCTCTAAAAGAAAAAAAAAAATGTTACATGGGTTAAGACAGCCTTGTTTGTGCCACATCTCTGATGGTGATGACAGGTGGAGTCCTAGACTTTGCCCATTCTTTTTTCAGGAGGACCATTCAGAGATTGAGATTGCTCTGATTCCCATATAATAGGTTCAAGTAAATGTACTAATGTGAAAAAACCTTCATCTTTCTTCCAGAAACACAATCTGGAATTCCAGAAAAATCTAGTTGATTCTGAAGAACAATTTTCTTCGAATTCATCCCCTTTATAAGCATGGGGTTGGAACTTGGAGCATTTCAGCAACTTTTCAAGTGACTGAATATTAAAAAAAATTAGATGTACAGCATGTTGACTATCATCAATAATATTTTATTTAAATTCAATTAGCCAACATATAGCCCATCATTAGTTTTTTTAAAAGATTTTATTTATTTGAAAGACAGAGATCACAAGTAGGCAGAGAGGCAGGCAGAGAGGGGGAAGCAGGCTCCCCGCTGAGCAGAGAGCCTGATATGGGGCTCGATCCCAGGACCTTGGGATCATGACCTGAGCCAAAGGCAGAGGCTTTAACCTACTGAGCCACCCAGGTGCCCCCCCATCATTAGTTTTTGATATAGTGTTCAATGATTCATTAGTTGCATGTAACACCCAGTGTTCATCACATCATGTGCCTTCCTCAATATTCATCACCCAGTAACCTCTTTCCCCACCCACCTCCCTTTCCACAACCCTGTTTGTTTCCCAGAGTCAAGAGTCTCTCATGGCTTGTCTCTCTCTCTGATTTCCTCCCATTTAGTTTTCCCTCCCTTCCCCTATGATCCTCTGTGCTGTTCCTTGTATTCCACATATGACTAAGACCATGTAATTGTCTTACTCTAATTTATTTCACTTAGCATAATGCTCTCCAGTTCCATCCATGTCAATGTAAAAAGTGGGTATTCATCCTTTCTGATGGCTGAATAGCATTCCATTGTATATATGAACCACATCTTCTTTATCCATTCATCTTCTGGAGGACATCTTGGCTCCTTCCACAGTATGGCTATTGTCGACACGTCTGCTATGAACATTGGGGTGCATGTGCCCCTTCTTTTCACTATATCTGTATCTTTGGGGTAAATACTCAGTAGCACAATTGCTGGGTTATAGGGTAGCTCTATTTTTAACTTCTTGAGGAAACTCCCTACTATTTTCCAGAGTGGCTGTACCAGCTTGCATTCCCACCGACATTTGTAAGAGGGTCCCCCTTTCTCCACATCCTTGCCAATATTTGTTGTTCCCTGTCCTGTTAATTTTGGCCATTCTAACTGGTGTAAGGTGGTACCTCATTGTGGTTTGATTTGTATTTCCCTGATGGCAAGTGATGTGGAGCATTTTTTCATGTCTCTATTAATAAAAACTGTTAAAGTGTCTATGCTGCCCAGAGCAATCTGCACATTCAATGCAAACCCTATCAAAATACCATCAACATTTTTCACAGAGCTGGAACGAACAATCCTAAAATTTGTATGGAACCAGAAAAGACCCTGAATAGCCAAAGGAATGTTGAAAAAGAAAATCACAGCTTGAGGCATCACAGTTCTGGACTTCGAGCTGTATTACAAAGCTGTAATCATCAAGACAGTATGGTACTGGCACAAAAACAGACACATAGGTCAATGGAACAAAATAGAGAACCCAGAAATGGACCCTCAACTCTATGTTCAACCTATCTTGGAAAGATGAACATACTGGAAAGAATATCCAATGGGAGAGAGACAGTCTCTTCAATAAATGGTGTTGGGAAAATTGGAGAGTCATATGCAGAAGAATGAAACTGAACCATTCTCTTACATCATACACAAAGATAAACTCAAAATGGATGAAACATTTAAATGTGAGGCAGGAATCCATCAAAATCCTAGAGGAGAACACAGGCAGCCATCTCTTTGACCTCGGCCGCAGCAACTTCTTGCAAGACATGGCTCTAAAGGCAAGGGAAACAAAAGCAAAAATGAACTACTGGGACTTCATCAAGCTAAAAAGCTTTTTTACAGCAAAGGAAACTGTCAACAAAACTAAAAGCCAACCTACAGAATGGGAGAAGATATTTGCAAATGACATAATAGATAAATGGCTGGTATCCAAGCTCTATAAAGAACTTACCAAACTCAACACCCAAAAAAACAAACAACCCAGTCAAGAAATGGGCAGAAGACATGAACAGACACTTCTCCAAAGAAGACATACAAATGGCCCTCAGTATTGTAATACACATTTCAAAGTTACTAAGAGAATAATCTTAAGTTTTCATCACAAGGAAAAGAATTATAAATTTGCATGGTGATGCATGGTAACTAGACTTGTGGTGATCATTTCCCAGTGTATACAAAAGTTGAGTCATTATATTGTAAACCCAAAACTAATATAATGTTATATGTCAACTATACCTCTGGGAAAAAAAAAAAAGGAAAGAAATTAGAAACTGGAATACTGAAAGGTCATAATTAAAACAAGATTAGGATGCATTATCTTATGGTTTCCAGTTCCCTGTTGTAATCAGCACTTCTATTGCCTTGAGTGTGTTATTTCAAGGAGCATAAACGCTTCCATCCTGTCATTAATTGTTCCCTTCTATTTCTTTTATTTTTTCTTTCTATTCCCATTCTATTTCTATTATTATTTTAGTTTTAATTTTAGTAATTTCATCTTCATTTCTAAATACATAAAAATATATACTCTATAAAATGGAAGAGGCATGGAAGAGGATATATGATGTAAAGTTGGCCATCTCTCAAGCCTCATGTCAGCTACCCAGGTCCATCCTCAGTTGTGACTATAGTTACTAGTTCATTCCGTATTCTTTGTGAGACAGATAAAATAGATGTATCTATTCATTATATATAAATTTACTTGTAGCAACTACGTATACTGTCTGCATCTTTGTTTTTTCACTTTATGCTAAATCTGGAGATTTTCTCATATTAGTACAAATAGAGTTTTCCCTTCCATTGAAGTGACTCTAGAATATTCTTTTGTACAAATGCCCCATGATTTCTATTACCAGTACCTGACAGAGAGGTATTTTTTTCTGATTTTTTTGCCATACACAAGTGCTACAACATATACCCTAGTATGTATGACATTTAGCACATGGACAATTATAAGTTAAATTCCTAAATTTGAACTTGCTGGATCAAAGGTATGTGCATTTAATACTTTGATATAGAATTGTTTCAATTTCCACCTGCTAGAAATATGGGAGATTTTCTATTTCTCCAAATCCTTGGCAACCTAGGACCAAAGGTGTTTTTCTTTGCTAATCTTAAAGATGAAACAGGAGCCTCATAACTTTATTTTGCACATCTCTTATTATTAGCAAAGTTGAATATATTTCATTTCTTCTAACATATTTGTCCATTTTGGGGACATGGCTGTTTTTTTCCTCACTACTTTAAAGAAGCTGTGAGAAAAAGGAAATGGCTTAAAGAAATTATATCATTTTTTTCTGATATATATTAAAATGTATTCCTCATTTTGCCATTTGTATTTTTACTTTGCTCATGTTTTTCTTTTTTACTTTTTATTTTATTTAAATCCAATTAGCCTATATATATGCTTATGGTTTTCTATGAAGAACATTTTTTTCTTAGATAGCTGATAGTCAAATTTATCAGTATTTTCTTTTATCTCAGTCTGACTTATTTCACTTAGCATAATACTGTCTAGGTCCATCCAGGTTGTTTCAAATGGCGTTATTTCATCCTTTTTAATGGCTGTGTAATATGCCATTGTATATGTATACCACAACTTCGTTATCATTCATCTATCAATGGACACTTAGATTGCTTCCATATCTTTACTATTGTAAATAACGCTGCAAGAAACATAGTGGGGCATATATCTTTTTGAATTAGTGTTTTTGTTTTCTTTGGGTAAATACTCTGAAGTAGAATTATTGCATTATATGGTGTTTCTATTCTTAATTTTTTAAGGAACCTCCATATTGTTTCCATAATGGTTGTAGCAATTTACATTCCCACCGACAGTGTATGAGAGTTCTTTTTTCTCTACATCCTTGCCAATGCTTGTTATTTCTTGTCTTTTTGATTCTAGTCATTCTGACAGGTGTGAGGTAATATCTCAAGGAGGTTTTGATTTTATTTCACTCCTAAGTAAAATCTAAAAAAACAGATGAATAAACAAACAAAAAGCAGAACCAGATCTGTAAAATACAGAAAACAAACTGACAGTTACCAGAGTGAAGGGGGTGGGGATTGGACAAAATGGGTGAAGAGTGGGAGATACAAGCTTCCAGTTATGGAATGAATAAGTCAAGGGAATTAAAGGCACAGCATAGGGAATATAGTCCATGATATTTATTTTTTTAATTTTTTTAATTTATTTATTTGACAGAGATCACAAGTAGGCGGAGAGGCAGGCAGAGAGAGGAGGAAGCAGGCTCCCTGTCGAGCAGAGAGCCCGATGTGGGGCTCGATTCCAGGACCCTGAGATCATGACCTGAGCCGAAGGCAGAGGCTTAACCCACTAAGCCACCCAGGTGCCCCAGTCCATGATATTTTAATAGCAATGTATGGTGACAGATGCTTGCTAGTCTTGTGGTAAGTATAGCACAATGTATAGACTTGAGAATCACGGATGCCTGGGTGGCTCAGTTGGTTAAGCAACTGACTTCAGATCAGGTCATGATCTTAGAGTCCTGGGATTGAGCCCCGCATCGGACTCTCTGCTCAGCAGGGAGTCTGCTTCTCCCTCTGATCCTCCCCTTCTTGTGCTCTCTCTTGCTCTCAAATAAATAAATAAAATCTTCAAAAAAAAAATACCTGGAGAAATCATGATATTATATAACCGAAACTAATGTAACATTGTGCATCAACTACACTCAAAGAGAAAAAGCAAAATATATTTTATTTCCATTATGTCATACTTAGAAAAGTTCTACCTACTTCAATATTATTTTTTTAACTGCCCCCTATTATTTAATTTTACGGTATATTTTTTCATGTTTATATCTTTGAACCATCGGAAATTTACTTGCAAATGAGACCTCAACTTTTCTTTTTCAGTTGGCTACCTATAGTTCAAACACCATTTGCTGAATATTTCATGTTCCTTTACAAAAGAATACACCTAAATTATCATCTGTTCAATTTTCTCATGACTTTGCACTGATTTTTCAAGTCTGTTTTGTGGTTGTTACAATATTCAGATGTTAGTACCAGAGTGCTAATTGTTGGGGTGTTTTGACATGTGGCTAAAGCTAGTTCCCTTTCATTTGTCTCTTTTTCAGGATTGCACTGGATATATTTGTTTGTGGCTTTCCATAAAAACTTTAGAATTAATTTTTCTACTTTCTGAAAAATTATGTTTGATGTGTGTTTTGGATCAAATTAAATGCACATATTAAGTTAAATAATATTGACATTTTAATTTCTGTCAGTGTTCGTATCTTATATAGCACTTAAAAATTTTCTTCATATAAACTTTACATACTTCATGATAAGTTTATTCTGCAGTATCATATCATTTTGATGTTACTGCAAATTTGGTCTTTTTTTCCACTGCATCTTTTAACCTGCTTCTCACTTGTTCGAGTTAATTTAATCAATAGTAAGTTTGTCTTGTCTGTGTAAGGCCTTCCTATATTTAGGTAATCACTTTTTAAACTTTTGTTAAGTGAAACTAACATGATACATATATCTCAAAAATGAGTCACAGCATAACAAAAGAAGCCTCATTTTATAATTTCCTAAAAGGAATTCTGAGTCTATTTTGTTTGTAATCTGAGAATTTTAAATCCTTTAATAAGCATTTTATCTTAGACTTATAAAAGGGAGAGTTCACTTTTGAAAATTCCTAGTTATCAAGTTGGGTTTTGTATTTAACACTGGTAGCTAAGCTAAGCATATCCATCCACTTCTTTATTGTTTTAGTGCTCTTTTATGGAATTTTTCAGTATTTCCATGTTCTGACCCTTATGGTAAGACTATCTGTGGCTTATAACTTCCTATGATTTGCTCAGGATCATCTTGCTAGGGTGGGGAGATGTTGGGGCTAAGTCAAGACTGAGAACTATCACAGACATGTGTTCCAGTTCTAATGATGCCTTTTGGGAGATAATGTAGGTTTGATTTTAACTAATTCTCAGTTCTACTTCAGGCAGCATGGCTGCCATCTACAAAAATGGGAATTGCTAACAATGTGTAGAAAACAGGCTATCAGGTTGCATGTTGAAATAAGGAATACCGTTTCCTTATAGTTTACAGAGTAATTCACACAGATCTGGAAACAAATGCATCAAGTTATAGGGCTTTCTGGATTTTGTATTTCCCATCAAGCATAATCTGATACACAAAACCCAGAGGATCGATTTTAGATATATCTGATGGTTGTACTAGTAACCTAAGGATTATAGGACTAACGTCCTACTCACTCCAGGCATTATGAAAGCATACTATAGTCACTACAAACAGCAGTCTAGCAATCTGGGGGTGCCATTTGTTCACCTCAAAGACTAACACTATAGAAAGGGTTAGAGTCTTGTGGATTTAAGGACCTCAGCAGGATCCAGACGGATCTGAGGCATTAAGTGAATCATATATCTTTATGATTCCCCATGGGGTCATGGTTTTTATTAGTTTTGGTCCCTCTCCTGAGGAAGCACAGCATTGTCCCTTGGGCACTGCCCAGGCTCTGTGCAGATTTACCGTTAGCTTGTGCTTCAACGTTTTTTCCTGTTCCCCCTGAAAGTTTTCACTTTCTCTTTCCAACTTCTCTCTCAGTTGGGCTAAGTTTTCCTTGAAGCTTCTCTCTTGAATCTCCAGTTTTTGCTGTTGCTCCTTGTATTTCCGTCTTAGCAGCTCCAGTTTCTTCCCAGCTGCCTCCTCCTTAGCCTGCTTAGCACCTTAGAGAGAAGAAAGCAACAATCAGGTCTGATGATTTTATTTTGCAGTATTTTGTTTAGCTGCAACTGCAAATCTGGCTTTTTTTTTTTATACTTCTCTTTTACAATCTTGTTTACTATTTCCTTAATTTGATCAAAATTAAGTCTGACTTTTGTATGTCACACCTTAGTAATCATTGATAATCACAGTTTATCTTTAAACTTATGTTAAAGAAACTAATATGACACATGCTTCCAAAGTAAGTCAGAGCATCGCAGGAACCTCTCAAGGAATTCTGGGCCTATGTCATTTTGAGCCCACAATCTTCATCCCCACACCAGGTAACTCACTAGGATCTGGCATTTCTTCACCTAATACTTTACCAATCAAATCAAAGACCCATAGATCCAATGAATATTTATTTTCATTACCCGCTGCAATCTCTTTTTTTAGTAGCTGTATCTCTGTATGCAAGTCCTCAGATTTCTGTAGGAATCCTTCATTAAGAAGTTCTTCTTGGATCTATAAAAGAGAAGGAGTCCACTTTTGAAAATCCTCTATTACCAAAAGTAAGGGTTTTGAGTTCAACAGTTTCAGCTCTGAAGCACTGTGTCTACTGTTCTATCACCTGAGAGTGCTTTTCGATGGGTCTGTCCTGGAGAGTGGGAGTACCCATGGTTTACACCTTCCCAGGAGTCCCTCAACACCACCTCACTACGAGGGGAGTGGGGTCAGGCTAGGTCAGACCTGAGAACTATCCTCTTAAGAGGAGTTCCAGCACTGAGGATGCCCTTCCGAGTGATGTAGGATTAATTCTAATTATTTTTCAGTCCCACTGAGGCAGCATGAACACACACGTCTAACAGATAATGGAAACTGCTGCCCCCCTCTAGATTGCTGCTTATCAAGTGCCAGGTTGAGCTGAAGAATTAACTTTCCTCTGTGCTTTGTAGGATAACTCACACATATCTGGAAACAAATGTAATACATTTTAGAGCTTTTGGAATCCTGTATTTCAAGTCTAATCTGATACTTTTAAGACAAGATGGAGTTCTTACAGGTCTGTTTGATGGTTCAATCAAGAATTCTAAGGACTAGTGGACTGAGGCCCTATTTAACTGGGGCCCAATGAGATCACCCTAACAATCACCACAAAGAGCAGCCCAGCAGCCTCAGGGATGTTAATTGCACATGACAAATTCTCACGCTACATAAGGCACTGGAGTTTGTGGGTTTAAGGGCCTCAGCAGGGTCCAGACGGATCTGAGGTTTCAGTGAATCATGTCTTTATGGTTCTCCTTGGGATCATAATTTTTATTAGTTTTGGCCCTTCTCCTGAGGAACCATAGCATTGTCCATTAGGCACTGCCCAGGCTCTGTGCAGACATACCTTCAGCTTGTGATTCAACATTTTTTCCTGCTCCATCTGAAGGCTTTCTCTTTCTCTCTCCAACTTATCTCTCAGTTGCTCTATATTTTCCTTGAAGCTTCTCTCTTGAGCCTCCAGTTTTTGCTGTTGCTCCTTGTATTTCTGACTTAGAAGCTCCACTTCCTTCTCAGCTGCCTCCTTCAAAGCTGACTCAGCTGTTCCACAAATGTTTTAGAGAGAGAAGAAAACAAAAGTCAGATCTGATTCTCACCTCCTCAGTAGAGATACCAAACTGACTCTGAAAAGGTAGCTGAGAAACCTCTGAACTATGTGGGTTAGCAAGAGCACATTTTAGAATGTGATCGAGATGACCCTCCTTGGCTGACAGATTTAAAAAGCCAGCTCCTATTGTTATACTTAGCAGTGCTGTTTCACAGAAAGAGAGGAAGCTCTTTGTTTCAGGAAGGTTTTGCTCTCATCTACGTCTGAAGTTAGTGCAGAAACCTACCCACTCTGCTATGAGCTCAACCCTGCACCTGTACCTGCTAGGGCCTTCTCCTGATAGGTGAGGACAACATCTCCCTGAAGGATGGAGTTCTCTACTGCCACCTGGTTCTGTAAGAAGTGCTGGAGAACTTCATTTGCCTGAAGAAACAAGGAGAGACATGTCATGTAACAAAGATCTTGTCTTTTCAGGGAAATTATCATTCTATGAAGTCATAAATCTGGCCTTGTAAGTTTTGTATTTGCTTAGATATCCTTTACTAACTTTCCTTCCATGGGTCCAATATAAATTCTGAGTTCTTTTGGGATACCTGAAACCTTCTATTGTGGCCTCCTTCCTAGCACTCCATCTTTCTCTCCAGAGAGGCCTTCCACTGTCTACCCCAGGTACAGCCAACCAGACTTCTGTGCATGTATAAACAGGGACCCCTGTTTTCTCAAACATCTGCTCAATCTCTTTTCTGACAGAAAGGATGCTTATCTACCCTTTCTTAACTAGGATAACATTTATGGATACTTGCATCTTATATCTCTTACTCCTCTTACAGAGTGCTTTGCCAAGCCACATTTCCAGTTTTGAAGATAGCCAATTATTCTGAGCTGCCCTACCAGCTCTCCCACTTGCTGGTAGTACGACTTTGGGCAACTTGTTTACTTTTTGTACAACACATTTCTTGACTGCATAACTATAGTATCTAAATTATAATAATATTCTGAGCATTAAATTGGCAGTCCAACGAAAGTACCTGTCTATGGGTTACTTACTATATGCATGGTATATGTTAGCCTTATTAAAATCATTGTTATTGTCATCATAATCATTACCATTATTTTCACTATCTGTTCATGAATGTATGATAATCATACAATTACCCAATTATTTGTCATCAAATAAAGAAGACATCTTGGAGCAAAGACTGTTATCTTTACTCTTTGTATCCTCTATACTAAGCAAAGAAATGATCACATTGTTTGATAAAGAAAAATTGTTCTCTTTAATCCAGAATTCCCAATTCTATACCATTTCTTGGGAAGAAATATTTCTAATCTCTTCAACAACATATAACTAATTGTGGATAAAAACTAAAAGGGTGGCGATATGGCTATGCTCTGCTTTCTCCCTTAAAATGGTGCTATGATCTTACATTTTCAGAAAAAGCAACACCCTTTGACTCTAGGATTTTGACAACCACCCTTCTCTCTTTACTCCTCACCTTAACCCCTTTCCTGTGCACTTGGTTATAGTCCCATTCAACCTTTTCCTTTTCTTCTAAGTAAAGATGATATCCTCCAGGAACACAGAAAGTTCCTCTTGAAATGTTTTTCATCAAGGACTCTGAAAGTTGCTTAAGCTGTGCCTGGCAATATTGGACAGATGCATCTTCATTCTGCAGCAAGAAATCTTCCTTTATTTCCTCTATGGTCTCCTGCCGGGGAAATTATGGAGAAATCAATTAGAAAGGAGCTGTTAGGAGGGAAAGTCCAATGTCATCCTCTTAGGAAAAGCATCATGATCACCTATGAGTAGACTGGAACATGGAATGGACCAGGAGTCAAGAGTCTTTTAGTCCTAGTTCATTCGTTCTTTCTCTCTTTCTTTTAAAAATTTATTTATTTGAGAGATAGAGAGAGAAAGAACATGCATGCAAGTTGGAGAAGGGGCAGAGGGAGAAGGAGAGAGAAAGAATCTCTAGCAGCCTCCCTGCTGAACACAGAGCCCTGTGGGGAGCTCAGTTCCTCAAACCTGAAATCACTACCTAAGTCAAGAGTCAGACACTCAACCAACTGAGCCACCCCAGCATCCCCAGAGACTTTTAGTCCTAGTTCTGATTGATTCTCTTTATTACTTGTCAAAAGCCCATTAACTCTCTTGGATTCAGGCTTATCATCTATAAAATGATGGGGTTGTAAGATATAAACTCCAATTTTCCTTCTGCTGTAGTATGATTAACAGTGACCCAACCATCAACAATGAAAAAGAGAAAGTTGAATTGTGCCTTGAAGTAGAGTTTCCTCAGAGGAGATTGAGAGAGCACAAGCAGGGGGAGTGGCAGAGGGAGAAGCAAGCTCCCCGCTCAGCAGGGAGCCTGACCTGGGGCTTGATCCCAGGACCCTGGGATTATGACCTGAGCCAAAGACAGGTGATTAACCAACTGAGCCACCCAGGCACCCCTCATGGCAATTTTTAATGCAGCAGAAAATTAATAAAATGTCTATGTTATAGTAAAAGGCTATGTTATAGTTATACTATGTTATAGTAAAAGGCTATAGTAATCTATAGCCTGTATAGCTCTGTCTCACAACAATCCAGGCTCCTTTATTTTTTTTAAGATTTTATTTATTTATTTGACAGAAATCACAAGTAGGAAGAGAGACAGGCAGAGAGAGGAGGGAAGCAGGCTCCCCACTGAGTAGAGAGCCCGATGTGGGGCTCGATCTCTGGACCCTGAGATCATGACCCGAGCTGAAGGTAGAGGCTTAACCTACTGAGCCACCCAGGTACCCCAATCCAGGCTCCTTTAACCAGGATGAAGAGATGAACTATTTGATAAAAAATATATAGGCTCTAAGCATGATTTCCGAAGGAGAGAAATCAGGAGTGCTAAATGCTAAGACAATTACCATGAGTTTTTTCTGGAACTCGCGCTTGTCGTCTTTGAAGGAGTACTCCATGAACACTGCAATGGCTTCCCTCTCACAGTGTGCATGTACATCCAACAGCTCCTGAAGTGTGTCTGTGGGGAGCTTCACTCGCTTGGCCATCTGCTCTCTGTAGTGGTCAGCTGCCTTCTGCACGGCCACTGAGTTCTCACGCTGAGCCAGAGTTGTCACCACATTCTCCAAGCAAGGAACTGCTCCTTTCTTGATGGCATCCACATAGGCTTTCAACAGAGTCCCCAGCCCTATATAAGCCAGGGAATTTGAGCATAAATACCAAGGTCTCAATCAGTAGCTTATAGTTTTTATGAAGCATCATTCTAAGATCACAAAAAGCCCCACCTTATTTACAAGGAAATGTTATTTTCTCCTTTTGGGAATCTATTCCTTTCTAACAGGATTATTGTTTTCCTGTTTTTTCTTTTATTGTTCTCCATTTTGTCACAGCACAACTTAAATTACCAACTATACAATATGCACCTATATACTGGAAAAATGGTTTCCCATTCATGAGAATGTAAAGGAATAGATTACATAGGTGAAGTAATAGACACAAACAAGACCAGCTGCATAATGTGTGTGCCCCGGTATAAAACAAAAATGTGAACTCCTAGTTGAACATGATTGAGAATTCAAAACAAGGATAGAGAATCTTAAAGCAAGTATGGGTCCATCTCCACACAGGATACCATAGGACTGCGTAAGTTACATGCCCACGGAGCCTGCCCTACACATAAGATGACACATAATTCTGTTTCTCAGTGGTCTTGCAGGAACTCATAGCTTGCTATTTATGACCTGACTCATGTAAATTTACAAAATAACCTGCTATCTCCTTCAAGACAAGAAGTTATCCCATAGGATTTCTCAATATACAGATGTCCTCTTTTTAACACCATCTTGTCTTCTTAGGATTGGTGGCTTATGTTCCTGAGGTATATCAGGTCTCAGCAGACCCTCACACAGGGAGACTTTAATGAGTAAACACACATGGATTTCTTTTCAGGCCATGAAAATCTGCTTCTCCATAGTTGCACACAGATGTAAACAAAATTACTGACAAATCCAGGCTCTCATCAAAGCTCCACCACACACTGACACAGAGACATGCTTTGGGACAAGGGTGACTCACGGCTCCCAGTGACAGTGATTCCCTCTCTTAGGGTCTTGGTCTTTGTATGATTGAAAATATAGGTACAGAATTTCTTTGATTGCTCCTGGAAAGCACTGTCTAGCTTGTCTTCTGGCACCTTCTCAAGATGGAATAAGAGATTTCTGTCACTTGTAGGCCGGTCAAAGACGAAGCACTTCCGTTTTGGAAAGAACTGCCTGATACACTCTCTGGGCATGTTGGAATTCTGGATTTTGGGATTTGTGCCTGCAAAAGTGGAAAAAAACTGATCACTGAAAGGTTGCCTTTAGGTAAGGGAGTCAGAACTTTCATTTCCAGGCATTTCTTTGCATTATGGCAGTTCCTGTGCCTGTGAATTTCCTTTATTCTAATCATGAGCTTTGTAAATTGAAATTGTGCCAATTTACCAAAGTCAAGGAAAATTCCTTTCTGAACAGAGCTAAGAGTCAGGGAAGTACTTCAGGAGAGGAATGGGAGGCATTCAGCACAAGTGAATAAACTTATGCTGGTTTCCCTAGCATTTTTATGGGGTCCCATGGATTACGTATCTAATGTTTATTGAATGACTAAGAAAAAAAGTCAGAGGGCCATAAATACAGAGAACAAATGGGTGGCTGCAGAAAGGATGGTGGTGGGGGATGAGTAAAATGGGTGAAGGGGAGTGGGAGGTACAGCCTTCCAGTTAAGGAATGAAGTCAGAGGAAGAAAGGTATAGAATGGAATATAGTCAATGATATTGTTACAGTGTTGTTTGGTGACAGATGGTAGCTACACTTGTGGTAAGCACAGCATAATGTACAGAGTTGTCAAATCACTATTTTCTACACCTGTAACTAATGCAACACTATGTGTCAACTATAATTTAAAAAGAGGTCAGAAGTACTTTTCCATGTCAAAAATGAAATATGGGCCTTAACGTGATGCCAGAACAAAAGGGGAACACTTTGCTGGGGAAAATGTCAGGAAGAAAATAGATGATATCCAGGTCAATAAAGAAAAATTTTTATAAGCATAAGCCAAAAATATGTCACACCACAAATATGTTTAGAGATTCCTTTAACTGAAATCTCTAAAGTATATTTTAATCTAAATGTAATTTGAGACCTCATCATTTCCCTATATTAGATCGATTCAGACTTCACAGGACCTTACAGAGCAATTCTGTAGCACATATCAGCTGTTTAATGAATAAATAAAAATGGATGTTCCCTATCCCTATAGATGTCTTCTATTATCCACTTTGCTAAATACATGTAACACATTTATAATATAAAAATAGAATATTGTGTAAGGCTACAAAGTGAAAAAGATGATGTTGTAAGGAAGGTAACATGAAGGTCTGACAGCTTTACAGGAAAGATGTGTCAACATTTTTTCTGGACCTTTTAGTTTGCAAATATCCTTTCTGTGGAGAATATAACTCTACAGGTGCTAGTAATATACAATTATTAAATATTATAAATTTATTACTTTAAAATCTCTAGCAATTGGAGCTAAGCTCACTAAAGAAATTCAGGCCCAAATATTAGATCAGATAACCTATTAATCAGATAAATTAGATCAGATAATCTATTAATCAGCTAACACTATTAAAATATACTATTCTACCATTTTGATTACTATATTATTACTATTGAAATACATTTTAAAAATAAGTAATTGATTTCAATGTGATTTTGTTTAGCAATTTCCAATCTGATGAACTATTTTTTCTTTTTCCAATTAAAAAAAAGGAAGAACACTTAACAAGCCACAAAAGTATGTGGGCCTCAAGAAGTTATAGCAATGGGGCACCTGGGTGGCTCAATGGGTTAAGCCGCTGCCTTCGGCTCAGGTCATGATCTCAGGGTCCTGGGATCGAGTCCCACAGCAGGGACTCAGCAGGGAGCCTTCTTCCCTCTTTCTCTCTTTCTTGCCTGCCTCTCTGCCTACTTGTGATCTCTGTCAAATAAATAAATAAAATCTTTTTAAAAAATGACACTTATAACCATGTGAAAAAAAAGAAGTTATAGCACTGATTGAAATCTGGAAATATTTTTTCATGGTATTAATTAGCATTAAATTATCTGATCTAATATTGGGTCCCGAATTTTTTTAATGAGCTTAAGCTCCAATTGCTAAAGACTTTAAAGTAATAATAACCCACAAAGCCCAATCACCATTAGCACTGGCTTCAGTCCAAATTCAAATAAACATTTATGTCAAATGCTGAATGACAGGGCTCAGTTGATCCCATCATTAAAAAACCTGCCACCATTTAAGCCATACTCTGAGACCTGGAAGCAGCTTCAAGGCATCCTCCAGGTACTCATCTTCAGTTATGAAGAGTCCATTTATCTTCATTTCCAGTGTGAAATCTCGTAGAGCCCAAATAAAATCTGGAAAGAAACTCACAAAGTTGGCAGAGTCGTCTACCCCACTGAACTTTGAGGATGACTTCGCCCTGATTAGCTGTGATAGTTCAGTCACATAGCTAGGAACTTAGCTAAGGAACAAGTACTTTACATCACAATTTCCAGATCTCAGATAGAAATAAATGTTATAAGCACTAATTTTTATTCTGGGTCCCTCTCACTCCCTTCTGCAATCATGACAATTAAGTCACAGAAAAGATGACAGTCTCAGTTGAGAATGGCAATTCCTGTAAACTCAATGAAACTTGGTGGTTTGGTCCCTGGAAGGATACTGCAGCTGCTCCAGGGCCTGGTGGTTGATGGTGCCCATGCTGTTGTAGATCAAGGTGCTGCTCAGAAGCACCGTCAGGGCAAAGATCCATGAGTCATTCTTGGGGTCGACCTAGAAAGCACATTAGACAAGGGACTTAGAAGGCTGCTATTTATTCACCCATTCACTTATTCATTCATTCAGTTTTTCATTTATTATTTTGTTACTATATATTGCTGAAATCTTAAGACAAAGAACACAAGTTTTGAAGACAATAATAAATTCAACCTCATTTTTAGTGTTAACATAGTACCCTCTCAGGCCTCAGTGTCTTAGCTATTAAAAGAAGTAAATGACATTGTCAATATGGGTAAAATGTCTAATGCAGTCCCTAGAATACAACAGACATACAATAATGTGAGCAATTATTCCTCTATCAAATTTTTCTTCATATTATCTGTATTTGCAACACAAATGTTATTCAAAAAAATTCTACAACTACTCTTTAGGCACCTACAAAACGTCAGACACTGCATTTGGCTGTATGGATGCAAAAGTTACTGTACTTAAGATGACTTAAGAAGGGGCAGATAAAGGCAACCAAGCTTATAATCTCTCACATGGAGAAAAGAATCGTGCAACTTCAGAGCAAGAAGTGACTATGGGGTCACTATGGGGTCTTGGATATGGAGGGCAAAATTGGAACCAACATTCAGGGAAAGACCTGAAATTCTTTGAAGACCAGGAAAATAGAGTCAGATATCTCAAAGCATTCCACAATTTTAGTGTTAGCCACTGGTTCTGCTGCCATCAGCAGTTTACAACACAGTGTATCCTGTTGCCTTGTACAAATGCAGTATCTAGATTCTATGCTTATCAGATTTGATCTGGAAGACTAGAAAACTTTTTCATATTTTTGGGAAAAAAACTATTTCCTCAAGTCCTTATTGTCCCTGAAAGTATCCAACGTAGATTGCTTTTTTTTTTTTTTAAAAGCAGGATTTGGGCCAAATAACAATCGTTTCCAACATCAAGAGAATCATTTTGCTTTTATACTGAATTTACTGTTAAGAGCTTTAAAGCTGAGCACAGAATCTCTGAATACTTTCTCCCCACATTTATGGAAGCCAGATATTTACCAATGCTACTTTGAATATAGGCTCAGAGTAATGTAAAATAAGGAGAAACAATTTGTTTCACTTAATAGTATAAAGAGAAAATATGTAAGATTATATCAGGTAAGATAATTTCAGTGGGTCAAGGTCATTCTCTTATATAAGTCAGAGAAGAAGTAATCTCTAAAACCAGAGACTTGAACTAAAACTCTTCATGAATGCTCCTGGTATAGCTAAACTTCGTCTGAAGAGGATTTAAATAAATTACTTTACTGAAATCCTATTTCATATCTCCTACTTTTTTACTTCTTTTTTTTTATTTTAAAGATTTTATTCATTTATTTGACGGAGATCACAACTAGGCAGAGAGGCAGGAGGGTGGTGGGGTGGGGGAGGGAAGCAGATTTCCTGCTGAGGAGAGAGCCAGATGCGGGGCTTGATCCCAAGACCCTAGGATCATGACCTGAGCTGAAGGCAGAGGCTTAACCCACTGAGCCACCCAGGCGCCCCACATCCCCTACTTCTAAATCCATCACATCCATATACTTGAATTGCTAGGTCCCACTGACTTCACAGGTTACAGTTTAGATATTATTTCTTCCAGGAAGCTTTCTCGAAGCCATATGATTGGATTAGTTGCCTACATCTACGCATGGTTCCCCGTACTGATCACACTGTGTACATGTTGTCTGTTGCAGTTAAGCTCTAGGCATTTGCCCTATTTGCTGCAGTATCTGTAGTACTTAGTACAGAACACGGGAATTCAGCTGTTTGGTTAAGTATTTACTAAACTGTATGTTTATCCAACTGTTAAAAGTAAGAAGATGTTGTTACTATATACCCCAATACTTGAGGTGACCAGAAAAGTAAGTTCAGGGAGAAATATATTCTCATTTTCATACTTGGGTTTAGAGTTTTTAAGAATAGGTAATAGAGCTTGAATTGAGGTAGCAAATGAAAAGTAGAGTCAAGATTCCCCCATGACTTTGCCTTACCTTTTCTATATTACCTAGACCTTCAGTGTCCAGAAGGACCAGGGTGTGGTTCAGCTTGGAGGGGTGGGGTACACACCACATCCAAATACCTTTGGTTTTAGACCTCACTGTGGAATCCAGGAGGAAGCCTGCAAGAGAAGAGAAGAAAGCAATATGGATGTATGGGGATGCTTAGAGTTTAGTGGACTGAAGTTCAGCACCTACTGCTGTTGAGCCAGAGAGGAGGTAAGATATTTGGAAAACCAGGGCTGCATGGTCTACATAGAAATAAATGACTAATGACTAATGGGGCCAGAGGCAGGTTCTCCTAAAAATCAGTAAGAACTAAACAAGACAATCCAATTACAATTTTTTAAAAAGACTTCAACAGGCATTTAACAAAATAGGAATTACAAAGGGCAAATAATATGTGAAAGGATACTCAACCTTACTTATAGTGAGGCACATGACATAGAACCAAGTAGTCATCATAACAGTAAAAGTCAAAAATTTTTCTTTGGATGTGAGAATTCTTAATTGCTGCTAATAAACATGTAACTTAAACAGAGAGTTGAAAAAGACACTGATTTTATCTGGAAGTCCTAAAGAAACAAATACTCTGTGACGTAGAAATTCCACTTTAGGATCTATTATATGAGAAGTTTGTGTACCTATACATCAGGATAAAATTACAAGAATATCTAAGACAATTTTGTTCATAAAAGATAAAAGTTATGGGGCACCTGGGTGGCTCAGTGGGTTAAAGCCTCTGCCTTCAGCTCAGGTTATGATCCCAGGGTCCTGGGATTGAGCCCCACATTGGGCTCTCTGCTTAGCAGGGAGCCTGCTTCCTCCTCTCTCTCTCTCTGTCTGCCTCTCTGCCTAATTGTGATCTCTGTCTGTCAAATAAATAAAATCTTTAAAAAAAAAGATAAAAGTTACTATAATACCTTGAAAAAATTATAGGTACATACAAAAAATGGATGAATCTTAAAAACTTCTTGTTGAGCAAAAGAAGACCTCAAAAAATACATAAAATTTAACTCCATTTAAGAAAACTTCCAAACTCATTCTACGAGGTAATCAGCATTACCCTGATTCCAAAACCAGACAAAGACCCCCCTAAAAAGAAAAATTACAGGCCAATATCCCTGATGAACATGGATGTAAAAATTTTCAACATGACACTAGCAAATTGAATTCAAGAGTACATTAAAAGAATTATTCACCATGACCAAACGGGATTTATTCCTGGGCTTCAGGGCTGGTTCAGTATTCACAAATCAATTGATGTGATATACCACATTAATAAAAGAAAGGATAAGAACCATATGATCCTGTTAATAGATGCAAAAAAAAAAAAAGCATTCGACAAAATACAGTGTCCTTTCTTGATAAAAACCCTCAGTAAAGTATATAAAGATGAGACATACTTCAACATCGTAAAGGCCATATATGAATGACCCACAGCAAATATCCCTTGATAGGGAAAAACTGAGAGCCTTTTCCCTATAGTCAGGAATAAGACAAGGATGTGCACTCTTACCATTATTATTTAACATAGTATTGGAAGTCTTAGCCACTCAGCAACTAAACAACACAAAGAAATAAAAGGCATCTGTATGGGCTAGGAAGAAGTCAAACTTTCATTCCTTGCCATTTTCAAGGACATGGATGAAGCTAAGAATGTATTATGCTAAGTAAAATAAATCAGTCAAAGAAAGACAAATGCCATATAATTTCACTCACACGTGTAATTTAAAGAAACAAAACAGGTGAACATATGAGAGGGAGAAAAAAAAAGAGAGGAAAACAAACCATAAGAGACTCTTAAAGAAACCGTAAGAGACTCTTAAAGATGGGCTAGATAGGTGATGAGTATTGAAATGGATATTAAAGAGGGCACTTCTTGTGATGAGCAGTGGATGTTGTATGTGAGTGATGAATCACTGACTTCTACTCCAGAAACCAATATAGCACTGTGTGTTAACTAGAATTTAAATAAAAAATTGAAAAGAAAAAAAATTTTTTTAAATGGGACCTTGTTTTATTTCCAGGAAAGCCACAATACAGGTTTGAGGCTACACAGCCGGTAGCAGAATCGACACTGGACCTTAATGGTGGTGCACACAGAGCCAGTGTCTGGCTACTGTCCACAGCACTGACTCGCCTGAGGGAGGACATTGGACACTGAGGTTAGGATTGCTATCTCTGCAGCCCCTGATGGCTGCATGACACTACTGTGACACTGCTCAGACCACCTGTACCCAATGCATGGGCACTGTCCCAGTGTGTCTATCACATGTCTTGAGTCAGAGTTGCAGGTGGTCATATTACTGTTGAAGCTTCATGTCATGTCCAACTGCAAGACTGGTAAAGTAGGTTCTCCCCTCTATGGATGGAGGTAGTCTCTGCCCCCATCAAGATTCTTTAGGTGTGGAATTCTTTTATGTGGGAAGAGAGGTACAAGTTCTAGGAGTAAATGCTGGGGACCAGGAATGGAAAAGAATGACAAATTTTCACATTTGGAGCTGTGATCTGAGACTAGAACTTGATTAAATTCCATTTATATCAATTTTAAAAGCAGTCCAAAATAAAGTATGCTTTAGAAATGAAAACATAGACTATAAAACCATTTTTAAAAAGCAAAGGAATAAGTATCATGAAAATCAAAACACTGGTGAGCACTAGTGAGAGTGTGAGAGGGTATGGTTGGGTCTTTGGGTGTTGACAATGATTTCTTTTTCTTTTTCTTTTTTTTAAATTTTTATTGTAAGTAGGGCTTAAAATAAAAGCCTACTCAGGCTCAAGCCAACACAGGGCTTGAACTCATGATCCTGAGCTGAAGACCTGAGTGGAGATCAAGAGTTGGATATTTAACCAACTGAGCCACCCAGATGCCCCACCAATGATTTCTTGACTCAAGCCATGATTACACAGGTGTTCACTTTATTCATTTTATTGTACACTGTGTTTTAGGCACTCTTCTGTATGTGTTAAAGTTCACATATTTGAAAAGGCTAAAAAAAGAGAGAGAAGGGGTTATAACTTATGAAAATTTTGCCTTGACATGGAGCAGAAAAATAAAATGGTAGCTCTATTGACATATGGGATAAAAAAGATTTTCCCCTTTTTCTCTTCCTTTCCTCTTCTAACAAAAGTGGTAAATATTAAAGTAATTTGAAGCTTCTTGAAATGACATTACAGGTTTGGCAGAAGTGATACAGGAGAAAGAAAGGAAGTAGTAGTAGAAGCTGAGTTTCTAAGAAGAGTGGATGGGATCCAGAGGAATTAGTTGGGGGAGGGAGGCTTGGATCGCTAATAGGGTGTGGAAAATGGCTGTTCATTATTGGAGAAAAGAGGTTTTATGAACAAATGGGGTTGAGGTTGTTCATTAGATGGTCAATATTACAAGTTTTCTTTATTGGGCAGAGTCAGCCTCTTCCTTTAGATGACATCAGAGGAGCATGACCAATCTGCAGTATCGTTGGTTCCAAGCAAATGACTCCGGTCCCAGGACAACACTCACCATGGTTCTGTCCTACTAGGCGGTTCAACAGGTAGGATTTTCCTGTCCGATATTGCCCTATAATGCCTACCACCATCACAGGCTGAGAAATCTTGTCAAGAATCTGTAACGCTTTTCGATTCACATTCAACTGCTCTCCGTGGTTTTCCACTAGACAAATGGGTTCTGTCATGGTGGGTCCAGATGCCATGGTAACCTGAAATGCAGAAGAGCCTCTCAGTAGAATGTAAGATCCCAAAGTCATCTTTAATGGTTATTCAAGGAATGTGCATATCTACTTCCTACGTTTTGTATGTTTTTAAGGGAGAAGTATACAGCCTGCCACCAGTAGATCACAGATTTCTTCTAACATGCCCATAATCCCTAGCGGTATCTATGATGGCACATATGTATCGTTTGTCTCCAGTGATTCGGTTTTCTAAAAATAATGTTCTTGCTCAGGAATCCCTCTGCATAAAAAGCCTTGGTAAAAATTTTTTTAAGGTGGGGTACCTTGGTGACTCAGTCAGTTAAAGCAGCTGTCTTTGGCTCAGGTCGTGATCTCAGTGTTCTGAGATCAAGCCCCGCATTGGCAGAGAGCCTGCTTCTCCTTTTCTCTCTGCCTGCTGCCCTGCCTACTTGTGCTCTCTATCTCTCTGTCAAATAAATAGATAAAATCTTTTAAAAAATTTTTTAAGGAAAAAAGACATATATGTATATATCTTTTTTTTCCTTAAAAAAATCCCTGGAAGTTAAAGAATTTTATCTTTTCTTACTGGATGAAGTAATGATAATACAGATATTTAAGTTAAAGGATTGGTAGAGGCTTTATGGTCAGTTAGTGGCAAAAGCAAGAGTTGAATAGCAATCTCACTGCACTAACTACTCCAAAATCTAACCTATCAGAATTAATTTCCTCAAATACGCTTTTAACAAATAGGTAAGTTTCTTGATGGGGAAACTGCAGGGTTCTCTATTGACTCATTAGGTATGAAGTCATTATAATACATAGTGTGATCTAAACAGATGCTGTTATTCCTGCACAGTCATCAAGCCACCAATCTATTTCCAGACCAACCCCTCTATTTACAGGGTGTGTGTCTCACTGGAGACTTCAGTTCATCTTACATTTTGTAAAAGGTATAACTCTTTTTTTAAAAAAGATTTTATTTATTTATTTGGCAGAGAGATAGAGATTACAAGTAGGCAGAGAGGCAGGCAGAGGGAGAAGGGGAAGCAGGCTCCCTGCTGAGCAGAGAGCCCAATGTGGGGCTGGATCCCAGGACCCTGAGATCATGACCTGAGCCGAAGGCAGAGGCTTAACCCACTGAGCCACCCAGGTGCCCCACAAAAGGCATAACTTTGATATCCAGTCTAACTTATTACCTAATTCATTACCTAATCACTATCTAATTCATTATATAATTGATGAGCCTGATGCCATGTTCAATGCTGGGGATATAAAAATGAGTAAGATAGAGTTCCAACCTTCAAAGTGCCTTAGAATCTGTATTAGCTAGGCTTTGGTTCCTCTACAAATAACAGAAAAGCCTAGATAGCCGATGCTTAAAAAGCTGAAAGTGTACTACCCTTTGTCACAAGTTTACAAAGATAAAGATTATAATTCACAAAGTCATCAGGGGCAAAGTTTCCTTTTATTTCTTGCTTAGCCATCTTTTAACAATGCCACTTCATGGTACAAGTTGACTTATCATCACATGTCCCTTCTAACCAGCAGAAGAAGAAAGGAGGAAGGAGGCTAGGTCACCTTCCTTTAAGGATATCTCGTGGATAATTGATCATGATGACCACACATCCCTTCAGCTCAGAGTTCAGTTACTACAATTATACTTCAAGAGCTTATGGTATATTGGAGAAGACAGGCAATAGTCACAATTGCAGCATAAGTAGAGAAATACCATGATAGACATATGCATGGCATAGTGTCCAGTAAAAGAAAGGTGCTCTAATATAGCTTGAAAGAAGAAATCAAAAGATACAATTTGGTAACTATGACAACAGGAGAGAGTTAAACACGAGAAGAGACAGCATGTGTGATGACTTGGAAGATTAAAATGAGAAAGAGGCATCTAAAGTGACTCCTTGGTTTTTACCTTGGACACCTGGGTAAATGTCAAAAAGAAAAATACAAGTCTGTTTTTCGTGGGTGTTGAAATTTTTAGAAATATTTAGTTCTGATATACTCATAGACATTAAATAGAATTGTGTAGACCTGAATGAAAGCATTATAGGCTGGTAAGCATTCAACCCATACTTTGTCATGTTCATTTGAATCTTTTAACACTAAGTTCAGTGAAGGTAAGGCCTCTACAATTCTCAGCACCTACTGGGCACTACATAAACATTTGCTCATTTGAATTGATGTGCAACTAGGAGAAAGATCTATCGGTAAAGTAAGATATGAGAGGTTGTAGTATATGCATCAAAACAGCAATGATGTTTTTATATCTCCCACACGGTGAATACATAAAATGAGTTCCAAGAGCCTATGTGTCTCAGAAGGGTAGGTGGTGTGGGTATCAAGAGGGAGGAAGTGACCAGAAAGATTAAATATATGGAGTTTACATAAGAGAAGGACTAAACATATTCTTAGGTTGTGAATAATCATTAATTTAACTTATATACATGTTGTATACCTGCCATGTGCTGGGCATTATTCTAGGTGCTCTGTACCCAGCAATGAACAAAATAGATATAAATTCCTGCCTCATGGAGCTCTCATCTGTTAGGAGAAGACCTCTAATAAGCAAAATATATTCCATATATAAATTATATATATATATATAAACATATACATACATATTATATGATACATGTAATGTAATGTTAGATGATGATGAATATTCTAGAGAAAAATTATCAGGGTGTGAAATAAGCAGGCAATAGGGATATGCGGTGTTAGGGTTGAATTCATACATAGGGTAGTCAGTGATGGTCTCCCTGAGAAAGAGACATAATGGAGGTCATCAGTGAGCTTGAAGAAAACAGTGAACTGTTGGGGAAAAGAGCCTGGGTGGATACCTGAGTAACATGAGAGGAGAGTGGCAAAGAATGGAGCTCTCTCTTAAAACAAAATAGAAATACCTTTATAGTGACAAGAAAGATACGGTTCCAGAATTTATTAAACTGGAAGAAAAAGACATTTCTATGCTTTATAATGTTTTATTTTTGTTTATAGGCTTACAGAGAAGTGAGCCAGTTGTGTGGATGTTTAAGATTCTGCCCAGATCTGACAGAGTCCCGTATCTGGGAAAGTTTGAATATTTTCCTCTCAGTGAGTAGAGCATTTCATGAGACATAGAGAGAGAGATCAATCATGCAGCTTTGACTCTCCCTTTATTTTTTCTACGACAGTGTTGAGCAGTGGTGTTCCCACTGTTTCCAGCTTTCCATCCAAGGAGGTGTTTCTTTGACAATGACTGAGGCAGTCCTGGAGCCCAAGTGGAAGACACTGTCAGGCTCAAAGGTGCCCCAAAGTTTAGCCTATAAGTCAAAGCTGAGCTCCCTCCACACGACTGAGCATCTGCTTCCTGTGCCACTGTTGTAAGTTTGTACAATACTTAAGCACAATCTTGTATCATACAGGACAGACTATTGCTGACATGTAACAACAACTCTCTTACCTCATTTGAGATACTATATGAAATACTAAAGAGCAACTAAGCATAACTTCAGGGTAAAGAAAGCTTTTGCATATACTTTTCAACTTTCTATTTTGTCTCTACATTTTGTGAAATTAGACATTGTCCATTTATTTCCTGTGAGAAACAAAAAATTATTAACTGCATGGCAAATACCCAGGCCTTTCAGCTTATAATACAAAGCTGCCTGAAGGCACTGGTAATAGAGGGGGTGAGCTCCAGTAGAAATAAAACTAGAGCAGGAATAAGAGTGACAACTGAAGAAAGGCACCATAATATGCTGTGTTTAGAGCCTGACCGCCTGGGTTCCTATACTGGATCCATTCTTTACTAGCTGTTTGACCACAAAAAGAATACATAATCTCTTTGTGCCTCTGTGAGTAATCTCATAAGGTGGTAATACTAATAGTAACTACATTATAGGTCACTGGGAGTATTAAATAATTCATGACAGTTATGACAACTTAAAACCATGGCTGGTGCATTGTACGTATCTGAGGAGACAGAAGAGATAGAATTCCAAATGCATGTGAAGGACCATTTTGGACAGAAATAGTGACACTTCTCTCATCCAAGAGTCAATGTAACTGCGAAGGAAACAAGGAAGGATGCAAACAAGGAAAGGGTACATCTCATGAGAAGGAAGAACAGGCAAGAGAGGCACAGCACGAAGGGCTGACATGGAGGTCACTGATGCAGGGGGAGCCAGCAGGAGGAGCACAGAGCCATCTTTGGGTGTCCCAGAGCAGCATCTGGAGTGAGGCTATCAGGTTCAACTTAGAAGGTTCAAATCACCTACTGTCTGTGAAACCTTGAAAAAGGGACTGGGTAAGCCTTGATTGATTTTGTTTCTTTCTAAGATTTATGAGCTGGAGGGGGTGGGAGAACGGAAGGGGGTGGAAGGGAGGGAGGGGGAGAGTAGAGGGAGAGGGAGAACCAGACTCCCTGCTCAGCAGGGAGCCTGATGCAGGACTCACCCAGGATCCCAGGATCATTACCAGAGCTTAAGGCAGATGCCCAACCAACTGAGCCACTCAGGTGCCCCAAGCCTTGATTTTCTTATCAATATTAAGGGTAAAATAATAATTCCTTCTTCATCCATAACTGTATAGACTAACAATGAATAGGCTGTCAATGAATTACTTCTAATTTTCAACAGCTAATATACTGTTTCTATAATTAGCAACTGAGGCAATGAGTTATTGTGTCAGTACACTCTATCAGGTGTACATTACCAAAAATCTAGGCTAAATAAAAATCCTTTTCTTAAAAAAAAAATCAGTTCATTAGGTGCTAGAGAGTTAAAAAATATGGAGTAAAGCAAGAGTTTTGCTGGTGTACTATAGGACAAATTGCAGATTTCTTTTCTTGGACTTAATATTTTTAAAACCTTTGGGGAGGAATATATGGATTACAAAGTTTATTATTACTACTTTTTTAGCTGCAAAGCAGGACTGAGATATCCAAGCTAAGATGATTCTAAATCCAAATTATATAAATAGAATGAGATGGTTCTACTAGACGGAGTTAGTCAATGGTTTGCAAAAGTTATGATCTATAAGCATCATCTCGCATGATGGTTAAAAATGCCCCAAATCCATATTTTCAACAAATACTACAAGATACTCTGATGTAGTTTGTGTATGGAACACACATTTATAAACAGTGCAGGATAAACACGCTTAAACCTTAGGATTATTTTTAACAATCGATTAGCGTGAGATTGAATAACTCCATACACCACTGCTGTCTCTACGGAATATTACATGTTAATAGTACACACACACAAGAAGTCGTCTTCCGGGATGTTAGTGGTCAGTGACACAAGGGCCATCCAGGCTGTTTTCCCGGCGCCCGGCAGGGGGCAGGCAGGACCGGCCTCAGGAGGGAGGACACCACCCAGCGCCCCTGGGGAACGAACGGCGGGAGTGGAAGGTGCCTCCATCCTGCCCGAGGAAGGCTTCAGTCCCCTTCCGCAGCCCAGGCGGCAGGCACCGGTGCTTCTCCCGCGCCCGGCTCCCCGTGACGCCTGAGGGGCTGCGGCGCCTCCCGGGACGCGGCGCGACCGGGGTCGCCCCGCGGGCGCCCCGGTTCTCGGGACAAGCTGAGCGGCGGGAGCTAAGCTCCCCGCGCCGGCCTCCCGCCGCCTTCCCGCTGCCCTGCGCTTGGGCCTGTGCTGTTCTTGTTTGTTAGCCGAAACGGCCGCGCAAAACCAAGTTTAGGAGCGAACTTACGTGGCGCGGGCGCTGCAGTCAGGGCACAAGTTCTCGGCGCTCTCCCTCTCCCCTCTGGCGCTCCGCCTGCGTCTGGCTTCTCAGGAAGCTGCCTGTTCCCTTTGGAAGCGGGAGAGCTGCCGGATATTACAGCCATGCCGCCGTGGGTGGGGGATGCGGAGCACCGTAATCGAAAGTACACGCACAGTGTTTGCGGCGCTAACTGCGGGGGATTTCGGCTGTTTGACTGAGGCGGGAGAGCGGGGCGTGTGGGACCAGGCGCGCGGCAGGTGCGTGCGTTTCGGCGCCTCCGCTGTCCCGGCGCCCAAACTTGGCCGGCGCCGCATGCGCAGTCGGCTCCGTGGCCTTGGTCAGGGAAACTGAGCCCGCGGCGGGAGTGCGGCGGGAGTGTGGCGGCAGCGGGGCCCTGAGGCTGCCTGTCTCCCAGGACGTCTTCCCGTCAGTGCACGGCTTTGTTCTGTTTTGTTCTTTATCTTCTACTTGTTCTTTCCTCTTTTCTTTTTTCTTTTCCCTCCATTCAAAGAACTACTCTCGCTACTACTGTAAGTATTCTTTCATAACGATAAAAATACGTATATCGTCCCCAAATAATCACCAGTACTTTATTCCAGTTCTTGCAGTTATTTTTTTCTCCGTTTATTCTACGATGGAGGCAGATGGGGGGGGGGGGCGCAATTTGCTTATATAATCTGGGGTTTGCTCTGAATAATAGAAAAATACTTAGTCAACAGTGAATTTTTATTAGAAATAAGCAAAGAAATCATAACCAACATCACGTTTTAAAAAGTTGGCAAATGCTACATTTTCAGAAACTTCTGAGTGGATTAAGTAGACATTAAGTGTCAGTTCCATCTTCACCACTGTATTTGTGTGAAATAGGCTCTTTGGCAGTAACTGTAAAAACTAAGTACCTGCCGATGGTTATAGACTCACTTTCTATATGCTATCAAAAATTTTATTAAATTATAAAAAATTAAAAATAAATTTTATTAAATTATAAAACTATTTATAGCACCAATATGACAAAACTGTTTAAAAATATCAGAAAATAAAATTTCACATTGAAAATTTTAAATCCCCCTTTTCCTTTCATATGTAATGTAATGCTACCATATTCTTTTGAAATCAATTACAGTTTTATGGGCAATTTGTCTTTCAATATGAACTTATATATTGTCTTCTTAATAGTATATAAAAATATACTCCTACTTATACCACTAGTGAAACTGGATGTCCTTTTAAAATTGCCTTTACTTGATATTATTAAAATTGAACAACAGTATTTTTTTTCCTACTGAAACATATAATCCAAACAAAGAACCCATTGCTATTGGGTATTTTTAGAGTAAATCAGAATTCTCTCTTTTGGTGGATCTTTGGAGCAAATATTGTAACATAAAATAAGATGTGTTGGGTGTTAAGTAATGTTACAAATGAACTACTTGGTTGTCTGCAAAAGCAACAATTGTTTATATTCAGAAGGATTTTAGATGGCCTCACAGAGGAGGTAGCATTACTTTTAGATCTTGAAGAATGACTCAGATTTAATTGAGGAAAGACTAGACAAAATGTATTTTAAAACAAAGGAAATAAATTAGCAAATATACAATGGTAGTGAGCAATACTAAGAATCATCCAGGATCCTGATAGCATTGAGGATGAGGTTGAAAGATAGCTGGGATCTGGGTCAGACCCAGTGAAGTCTTAAGTGTTATCAGACACGCTTTAAAGTTTAGAGTTATCACCTATCCCTCTGAGCAGGAGAGAGACTATAAAGTGGGGATACTGGAGACAGAGATCACTTTGGAGGCTATTGAACAATTTAAAAATGTTAGAGTCCTTCCACTGTAAGTTTGTATGGAAACAATGCTCCACCAGATCATTCAAGGTGCAGGTTTCTTCTCCAGCACTAAGGCATGTACTCGTTTGCAAGGTCAAACATTGATGGCTGCTACATCTGTGATGGTACAATAGGAGGGAAAAAAGGGACTGGTGGATTATAAGCTCGAAGTTCTCTGGCCCTGACTTTCGAATGACAAAACTATACTTCTATACTTATTTCATATACAAACATAATCATATGGCCACTGTTAGCTGTAAGAACAGCGAGAAAAATACAATCTCTAGATGAGTCGTCATGAACTCATCTTATACCGTACAATCTTACAATATTTAGAGCTGAAAGTCTGTTATAGTGCCAGATTTTTTTTTTTTAAGTTTTAAAATTAAAGTTGACCATTTTGAGAGTTGAACCCATCATTCTTTTTATACCATCTTTGTGTGGTGTAAGTTCTTTAATGGCACACATCCAACTTGCTCCTGCTCTCAATCTTATTCACGATATAATATTTCTTTTCTTTTTTTAAAATTTTATTTATTTATTTAACACAGAGAGACAGAGATCACAAGTAGACAGAAAGGCAGGCAGAGAGAGAGGGGAAGCAGGCTCCTAGCTGAGTAGAGAGCCCGATGCAGGTCTCAATCCCAGGACGCTGAGATCATGACCTGAGCTGAAGGCGGAGGCTTAACCCACTGAGTCACCCAGGTGCCCCATGATATAATATTTCTTATAGCAAAATGTTTTTATTAGGGACGCCTGGGTGGCTCAGTTGGTTAAGTGTCTGCTTTTGGCTCAGGTCATGATCCCAGAGTCCTGGAGTCCCTCATTAGTCTCCTTGCTCAGTGAGGAACCTGCTTCTTCCTCTCCCTCCACCTGCCACTCACTCGCCCCCTGCTTGTGCTCTTTCTCACTCTGACAAATAAATAAATAAAATCTTGAAAAAAAATGTTTTTATTAGTATTTAGCAATGAAAGAAAAAAATAAATTTGGAGCCTTTCTTTAAGTTTTCCTTGTTTATAATTACTTCAAAGCAAAAAATCTTTTATAATTATATTTTGTAACTCTAAGTAACAGGAGCACAATATTGGCAAAGGAAGAATCATTACAAATGTTTTCCTAAACTGGTGGAGGTTAAGGAAGTTTTATTTAACAAAGACAAAGTGTTTTTCATGTACTATTCATTTAACTCCAAAAATAATAGTCTATCATGTTGTTTTAGAAATGTTTTTATTTGGCACCTAGTGTATTCAGCTTCTGAACTTATTTGAAGTTCTTAGGAAAAGTCTTATTTTAACGTTCTGCTACACGTTGTGAAAAACAAAAAGTTATGGATGTACTAGCCCTTCCAGAGAGCACAAGGTAAAGCAGTTGCAGTTTTGATATCTGCTGACTGCATTTTTTCAGCTGAAAAAGACATGTGTGTTGATTTTTCTTATTCATAATTAATCTAAGAGAACAGTTTGTTCAGAATTACAGTGCCAACAATATATTTGGTTACATATGCTTATGTATATATCTTGGTATGCATTATATATATATGGATATAGATATAGATATATGCTATGTATACTTATGTACATAAGAGAATGACAGCAGCAACACAAGGAATGGGGAGGAGGAATTAGGCTTATTTTCTTATTTTAAAGTACACTACTTGTGAAGTGGTAAAATATAATATTATTTGAAAGGAGATTTGGATAAGTTGTAAACATATATCATGAACTCGTAGAACAGGGATGCCTAGGTGGCTCAGTTAGTTAAAGTGGCTGTCTTTGGCTTGAGTCATGATTTTAGGGTCCTGGGATCGAACCCCAGGTTGGGCTCTCTGCTGAGCAGGGAGCCTGTTTCTCCCTCCACATGCCTCTCTCTTTCCCTCTCTCAGATAAATAAATAAAATCTTAAAAAAAAAATTCTAGAGCAACTGCTAAAAAGTGAAGAAAAAACACCCATATGCAAAGAAAGGAGAGAAAAATAGAATCATAAAAAGCTAGGTTAAAACTACAAAAAGGCAGAAAGAGAGAGGAAGGCAAAAATAGGAACAAAAAACAAGAGCAACAAACAGAAAACAGTAACAAATATGGTAGATATTGACCTCAATGTATTGATAACCATTTTGAATGCCAATGGTTTAGATGAGAGCAAAGCAGAGAAGTAATAGGAATATTATAATATGTGCAAACCTATGTATTGTGTAATATATAGTACCATATGAAAAATATATTAATAAAGAAAGTATGCCTAGAGATGAAGAGTGATGCAGAAAATAATGAAAATCCCAGTTTTCAGGAGGATTTAAAGCTGTTAATTTTTGTTAACTTTTAAAGTTTTTTCCAAAATATAGACTCAAATAAGCAAAAACGGGAATAACTAGAAGAATAGAGAAGACTACAATTATAAAGAAACATTTACAATACTCTGTGACAATTTGCTAGATTGAACCTGTAAAATGCAGTAATATTGAAGATTTGAGCATCATGATTAGCAAAACTAAAGAAATAGTTATTTACTATCTAGATAATTGTGCTAAAATATGGTAGAAAAATATTTTTTGGGCTCAAAGGATTTCAATCAAGCAAAGCGTGGTTTACTTTGATACATGTTAAGAAACTATAATGAAAGGATAAATGGAAATCCCCAAATATAATTTAAAAATTCCACTTCTAAAAAAATACTATGAGTCTAAGAAGACTTATGATAATGACTAAAATACTTTAACCTGAAAAATACTGATAATCCTTAAATCAAACTTATTGGGTATGGGTAAATCACTTCTCATTGTGAAATTCATCATATTAAACTCAGTATGGAGGCACCTGGGTGGCTCAGTGGGTTAAGCCTCTGCCTTCAGCTCAGGTCATGATCTCAGGGTCCTGGGATCGAGCCCCGCATCGGGCTCTCTGCTTAGCAGAGAGCCTGCTTCCTCCTCTCTCTCTCTGCCTGCCTCTCTGCCTACTTGTGATCTCTGTCAAATAAATAAATAAAATATAAAAAAAAAAAAACTCATGTATGAAGGAAGAATTAGTTATATACTGATCTCAAGAAGTTAGAAAGTGGACAAAACATGTAAGAAAGAAAAATAAAAAATAATGCAAGAATTTAATAAAATAGAAAACAAATATGAAATAGAATCAAAGAATCCAAAATGTTACTCTTTGGCAAAGATTAATAGGTTGATAAAATTGTAGTAACTAATAAAGTGAACAAAGGTATGAGTTCTTCTTTTTCTCTCAGCCTT